GAAAAAGTAATTTAAATGGAAGATCGTCATTTAATTCTTGTCAAGGCACATATCCGTTTATATGTGGAAAGTTTGTTTTTAGAACGATCTTTGTTATCATTATGAAAATAATGAGTATAATTATATATATTTTTGCAATAAGGTCTTGGCTTATTGATTATTTAATTGACTTATGCTTTAATGGATTTATAATTCGTGTTCGAAATAACTAATTAGCAATACTAATTAAAATATTGAATTCGAACATTTGATTATAGTTTCTAGATAAATTTGATTATAGCAGCATGTAAGTTAGTCTTATAATTCATCTGTCAGTTTAATTCATCCTAAATTTTAATGTTTTGTCGTCCAATATCCATTTAATAATTTTCGTCATAAAATCTACAATCATATAATAAAATGTAGATTTATAGACATATTATTTGTAATTAGAAGTATTAATGTCCTCTTGCAAAATTAATTAAATAAAGTATATATACACATATCACATTCTTAGTATTAGTTGCAAAATTAAATCAAATTGAAATGTATGTATATTGGATTTAAATGATGTGAAAGTTTGGATCGGTGTAATATTTTGACCAAAAATTGGGTTTCTGAACTTCAAGCTACATTGTGGACGAATTGCTAGGTTTTTTTAGTCCGATCGCGCTCTAAATTACGGAATACTATCGCGAGGTGAAATGAATAGGAATCATAGATTCATTTATAAGTTATTCTTGGAACAGAATATGTGTGTAATAGATAAAACATACATCAGAATTTATTCATAGTAGTAATAAGATTACCCAATTAGAAGAAACGAGATGAAGCACTACATCTTAAACTGTCTAAGTCCCTTTCATCGATATTTTTCACTGTAAAAGCATATGGGTTTACTGTATATGTTACGAATGTCGTACTTGTGAATGTATAGATTTTCTTGCATTCATTGTATTTTCATTCGCAATTGTGACTCATAATAACGTATAATATTTTTACCTTTTCGAAGGAGAAGTTTGTTTTCGTCAAAAAATCCGATTTGCTAATTTTATGTTTTCTCAACGTTTCAAGCCATTCTGAAACGAATGAGGCCAAACTTGGAAAAAGTACGTGTATGTGTGTGTGTGAGAGAGAGAGAGAGAAAGAGACGATTTTTGACTTTTCATCGACGTTTTCTTAAAAACGGCTGGATTGATTTCAAAAGTTTAAAAGCCATGTAATTCGATAAAGACTAGCGTTTATCAGTTTTGCGCGACGATCAAACAAGCCGTTTCTTTGTTAGTAGCACAAAAGTGAAAAAAATGTTTTAGCCCTAATTGTAAATCGATTGGGGCCCCCAAATTGTAAATTCAAAAACTGTTCCAAAGATATTGTTGGACTAAGACTTCCGACTAACTGTTGAAAATTTTAAGACTTAAGACTTTGAGACTAAGACTTGAATTTTAAGACAAATACTTTGAACTAACTGTTAAAAATTTTCGATTAAGCTTTTCATGTTGATAGATTTTTCATAGTCCTAAAGAACATACTAAAATATTACGGCTCTAGCAAAAGTCGTTTAATTTAAAAAAAATCATCGAAGTTTGAAAAAGTATGATAGTCAAAATTTGAATTTCACAAATTCAAAAGCCATTGGAATAAATTCTATTCTAATTCTAAAGCCGCGATTAGATTTGCGTGAACATCGGCCAAGCTAGTATAAAAGGCTTTGGAAATAGCAAAAAAGTAAGTGAGCAGCCTGCAGAACTTTTCTAGTTGTGTAAAAAAATATTACCAAATAATGAAATAATATCAAGGATTGCGCACATGATATATGTGATCGTACTAGTATTTTCTTATTCTTTAATATTTCACAAAATAATTTATTAAGTTTTTTTTAAAAAAATGTTGCCGTGCATTTATATGTCATTATATGTCAAATTTAACATGGCGATAAAGTTTATGCACTAAACAGTCCTACGAAAATTGGTTGAATTATATAAATTAATTAAAATTTGGAATAATAAGCTACAATTGTAGGTCATACGAGCACTTGTCCGTGCACTATAATTAATATAATTACAGATAATTTTAATGTGCTTGAGAGATATCAATTGAAAATAGCAATGTTTAGTGAAAGCGAAAACTTTATTTAAAAATAAAGTAAACAGTAGAAAATTTTATCTAAATATCTAAATCTCAATTTCGATTGGTTAAGTCAATTATTACATATTTCGGGAAGTTCATGAAACTTGCCTTAAGGCAAAATGCCACTTTCGACTAGTTATATTTTATATTATGTTAATTATAATAAAACGTCGATTTTATTATAAGTTATAGACATGTCTCGAACTTTTTAAAAATAAAAATTAATTTATTTTGCAAACAAATACGTTTAAGGATGAATATTTGGTTTATATGAATTATTCGTTTAAATGTTATCATTTGTGAAAGCAAACTATACGGTTGAGCAACAAAATATTTGTTCCCAAAGTCGCCCAGGTTTTAGATTATAGTCAACATTATTTCAGTTTCAAAATGCCGAACTAAAGAATCTAAATATTAAATATCGATTCAACCCTCGCACTACAAATGTGTGTTTGTTCGAACTTCGTCGCTTCGCATATTTGCTCAACTAAATTTAAGTTCTATTTTCTTCGTTGTATTTGAAAATACAACATTTTAAACTGCAAGGCACATTTATTAAGTCCGTCTTTAAAAGCAAAAGAAGAAATTAACTCCAATTAATGTCGCCACAGTTCAATTTTTTACTGCTAGTATGTTTTTATTTCATATTAGCTATTACCGTGCTGTACTAATCAACGATGCTTAAATTATTTGAAACTGTATTGTGAGCCCTTGATCAATGTACTGCAGACAACATCTCGTACAATAACCATGCCAAACAACAGTATAAATACATACACATTTGACTTGACCCAAGTAATAACCACATCCCCACAAATAATGAATGCAGAACTTTTTTTCTTGGAAATCGGTAGATGTGTGCTTTCGCATCACCGATTAATTTTTAAATGTGTTCAATGTGAATTAAATAAATAATTATTTTATTTTTATTTAACATATGATCAACATAATACTTGAGCGTCAAACTCTCTTAAAATGAAAATATGGATAATATTTTATGAAACTCTTTATAATATTTATGTACTCGTCATATATTGAATTAAAATTTTGTAATTGTTTTGTTTTGTGGTTGAGATTACACATCATATTTTATTCTAATTTGTATTTTATTTTTCATCAATAATAATAATTTAATTTGTATTAATATATTTTTGTCGGCTTTTTAATGTATTTATGCTCCAAAATAAAATTATAAAAATGTAGAATAAACTATAAATGCGTTCAAGAACTTTGAACCAAAACTGCCGAATATCGAGGTACTGGTTTTGACGTATGTAAAACATGTACTTTCAATTCAAATTCTTGAAATGCAAACTGTACGATATCTGATAGTTTTACATGATATGGAAATGCACGCACAACACAACTTGATTTTTATATAATCAGCATTCTATTCAGTCAAACCGAAGTCCCAAGAGAGGATGATATTATTAGATTATTTGATTGTCATCATTCCCAACTCTCGGGCTCTTTCACTCTCACTCCACATTGATTATATCATTTACTAAATTTATTATCTCATGACAAGGCGGAATTCCTCTGATTCATATAAAATACTGCTGATTTAAATTTTCATTCATTTGCTTATTTTCTATTTTCAGTGAAATATACCTATCAGACGTTATTTATCTTTATGGTTCAATCTTATTCTTCCGTACACCTTCGAAATTTTTAGCTTCGGAAACTCTTTGGGAGATAATATTTTTCAGTACTGAACTGTAATCATACAATATGAATCCCAGTGTTATTAAATTATAAGCTGATTAAAATTGTTCGTTTTGTTACCCAATATGACTTGAATTCACACATGTAGGCCATCCCTCGAAGGCATTTAACTTCATTAAAATCTTAAATTTAAGAAATAAACTTGGTGTTTATCGTGTAACTAAAATTATGAATAATAATAATTATTTATTATTATATAAATGAAATTTGAAGTAGTAAAAAATAAAACGAGTGAGAGGCTCTGAGCAACGTTGTAATAGCCTCTTAACATAGTTTAAAGTGACACTTTATGGAGAGAAGGATGTTGCTTGATAGCATACAGCATCCGTTTACACTTTGGATCTGATACCTATCATTCTACATAATAGAACAGCTTCATTGTACATTCTTAACATGTTCAATAAAGTCATTGCTCAAATTTCCGTGCCGATAGCTCAATTTGAGCCGAACTGATTTATATTTTTAATTCTTATAATTCGTAATCCAATGTTTAAATATCCTTACAGCATTAATTAAATTGCTTTAATAATATTCCATTTGTATTAAATAACGTTTCATTTTCAAATAAATGAATTTAAACAAAATCAACGCGATTTCAGCCAATCTTTGCACAATATTTATTAATTTGTCTTTTGAACTGGATTTTTTTAAAACAAATTGGTGTATTTTAAAAACAGTCGGTTAATAAAAATTGACATTTAACAAATAGTTTTTGAGTTTTAAATCTGTTTTTTTAACAAATCTGTTTTTTTAACAAATTGCTTAAAAGATTTTTTCCGTAAGCTAATTGATATATCATTTTTTTTAAATACATATATTAAATATTCTATATTGAACTCTTATATATACTATTGAAATGTACTGTCTGGTTTGAACACGAACTTCATCTATTTCTTCTATATAATAGATTCTAGTTTTCTTTAGATATTTCTATATATTTTTTGCCCTCCATAAACCGGCAATTTTAACATTTTAACATTTTAACAATATTAGCGTTGTAAAAATACGTATCCATTATCAACTGATATTTATTTCATAAGAATTTTCAACTTTTGAAATAGATCAAAAACATATTTGTCCAACAAAAGTACGTCTTTGATAATACAACATAATCTGATACTATTTTTTATCGTTCTTTGAATATTAAGTTGTTTTTTAATTTTCAGGTCGTAGTGGAAAGCTCAATGTCTGCTCTAGTTTATGGTGATTTAGTTGTGGATGAAAATTCTCCGGTAAATCCTGATTTACACTTCGATACGCAACTTATGCATTTATATGTGATGACAGAGAAAAAGGTGAATAATATGTGCATATACAATTTTTATTTTTATTTATTTGTATGCGTTTTTGCTGTTTTCGAAGTAATAAAACTAAAATAATATAAAATCTCGCTATTTTCATGATAGTCTTTTGCGTGTATTTTCATAGATAAACATGTATATTTTATTGAAAACGTATGAAATATGTTTCTTTTTAAATAGCATTTTCTGTTCATATAATGTGTTCATATATACATTCCAAAATATAAAGAATATTAGTAATTTAAACAATGAATGATTTGTGTTTTTAGCATTAAAATTATAAGCTACTTTTTTCTATATTTAGTCGTATGATTTTTTTTACCAAAAAGTTTAATCTACATATAGTTTACAGAAATGAAATCTTATATTCATGATATCTTATGTGTTATTATTATTCAATTTTAGGTATCAAAAGTAAAAGTACAAGAATGCAGTGTATACAAAACTTGCTGGGATTGTTTAGGTGCCAAAGATCCATATTGCGGATGGTGTTCCTTAGATAACAAGTAAAACATGAAAATATTATTTTACTTTACAATTAATGATTCGTAAACTAAATATTTTTTACAATGTAGATGTAGCTTAAGATCGAATTGCCAAGATGCTGCCAAGGATCCTTTATATTGGATTAGTTACAAAAGTGGAAGATGTACTACAATCACGACAGTTTCACCGCATCAGTTGCAAAGAACGACAGCAAGAACGGTTAGATATATTAAAATTTATTCGATTATGCTTTTCAAAAGTTTCCAACAAGTTTATTTATAGTTTAAAATGTCCTAAGATTTTATTTGGGTCTAACTTATTTCATTAAATCTACTAGTCCGCTAGTACCTAACTATGTACCTCTTACCACTCTACGTAGATATCTTTCTACCAATATATCTACAAGTATTTATTCATCTAACTTACTAATTGCCTACTGTTCTACCTGTCTGTATATCTACGTGTCTACCTGTCTGCTTGCTATACTATTTATTACTATCTTTCTATTTCGTACCAGTCTACTTGTATGCCCGTCTATCTGGTTACTTTTCTAACTGTGTATCTATCTTTCCTCTTGCTTACTTATTTGTCTTTCTACTTGCCTACTTTTCATATTTTTTATTTGTCCACCTGTCTACCAGTCCGCCTGTGTATCAATAATTCTGTTCGTATATAAATCAATAATGACTTGTAATGATCAAATTTGGTCTTTGCCAAAAACTAATCACCACGACTCCTCATCATTAGAATTGCATGTTTCTTGAATCATTCAAATCGAATGCTCTGTTCTCTCAAAAACTTAATTTGTATTTTTTGCACTATCTCCGAAACGGCTGGACCTACCTTCAAAAATTAATCAGCACGTCTCCCGTTAATATTATTATTATATTAATATTTATCTTTATTGCAGTTGGAGTTAGTGATTGAGAACCTTCCAAACTTGTCTGGTCAGTTTCAATGCGCCTTTTCTGCATTGGATAAAACATTACTTACAAATGCAACTCGCAAAACTTATGGAGTGAATTGTACCACGCCGAGAACAGATGTTTTGCCAGCTATACCACCAGGACAACGTAAGCTAATTATAACATTGTTTTTAAATTAATTATATGTACATTTATAGTTTGTCACTATTAAAATAAAGCAAAGCTTCAATTGATCTTTGTGTAATCTAATATATGAATACTATTCTTCTATTAATTTAAGAGGCAAGCATATACAATATTGAGTGTTATTGAAATTTTTGTTTAGATCATTTCACTGCCAAACTATCAGTACGGATGACATCAGGGCCTGATTTTGTTGCAACTAATTTCACATTTTTTGATTGCAACACTTACAGTTCTTGTACACAGTGTGTATCGTCATCATTTCCATGCGACTGGTGTGTAGATGGACACAGATGTACACACGATACGGCAGAAAATTGCCGCAATGATATTTTGGTTACTGGCGTCAGTGTAAGTTTTCACTTTATTCAATTTAATTTTTTTTTTCACTTAGTTTATTTTATATTGATAACATTTTAAGCAATATTATGTCTTAGAGATTTCGCACATAATTTGAAAATGGATTTTACTCGGAGTTCATGTTATTAACATAAATGTTTGTGATATTTTTGTTATCCTTATTAAGATTCTCGAAAAGTATGCTTTTTTATAAAAAAATAATAATCCTCAAGATTAAAATGATGCCACAACTCCAATATTGATCACTTTAACAATGCATCTACTAACCAATAGTATTAAAATTTGTTTTTGCAAAAAAATCATAACAGTTGAAAATAATTTTCTAGAGAATTGGACCAAGTTATCGATCTGGGCCAGGATTTTGTCCTACGATTAATGCAACTGGAGGTGGTTCCACAGAAATTTTAGTGTCATCAGGGATCAAGAAAACTATCAAAGTTAAAGTTCATATCATAGGACAATTTATAGTACAAACAAGATTTGTCTGTCAATTCAACATTGAGGGTCGAGTTACTAGTGTGAACGCTCAACTACTTGGTGATACTATATACTGTGATCCAATGGAGTTTTCATATAACTCAAGAGCACCCAACATTACTGCAACTTTTGCTGTTATTTGGGGTGGCAGTAAACCTTTGGATAATCCGGATAATATGCATGGTATGTCAGAGATATTTATATTAGGATTATCTCAACTAATATGAGATCTATCTCAATATTGTTGCCAAAATCTAAAATTAAATTGACACCAAAATGAACTTTTTACTTGTATTTTTAATAAATAATGTAATTATTTTTCAGTTGTTATATATAGATGCAAAGACATGGCTGACAACTGCGGCATGTGCCTTGCCTTAGCTGAAAAATATGGCTGTGGTTGGTGCCAGAGTTCAGATAGATGTGAAGTCAAAGAACAGTGTGATCTTGCCAAAAATCATACAATGGTTTGGCTAAACCATAGCAAAACTTGTCCAAATCCTGAAATTCACTCTTTTAGTCCTGAATTGGGTCCTTGGGAAGGTGGTACTAATATAACTATACAGGGAATTAATCTTGGAAAAACATTTGAAGACATTTACACTGGGTTAACCATTGCTGATATGAATTGTCAACCCTACAGACATTTGTATGTTAAGACGAAAGAAATTGTATGCATTGTTGACTCTCCTGGTGAAAATGAACCTAGAAAGGGGCCTGTGATAGTTAGGGTAGAGACCTATACTGGCCAGTCTAAATATAACTTTTCTTTCGTCAATCCTGTCATAACTGGTATTAGTCCTAAATATGGGCCAGTGTCAGGAGGTACTAGGTTGAGGATCACTGGGAAGTACATGAATGCAGGAAGCCGAATTGAAGCATTTATTGACAACATACCATGTGAAATTTTGAGGTTTGTACAATACTCATATATAATATGATACATATTTATACTTACATAAAGTTTAGCTCATTTTATTTATATCACTGATATCAGATTATTTTATTTTATTATTGATTAGATTATTTTCATTTTATTTATTCTTTAGAAACATAGCACATAATTTTTATTCTTAAATGGCTTTAGTTTGATTTTATTGTATAGATTGCTAGAAAAACCTTTTAAAAATTATTTTTAATCTAAGTATTTCCATTATATACCCTTGCAATTTATTTAGTATTTATTAGTCTTGTCAGATATTGTACAAATTGTTTATATAAAATAATGGGATTTACCTAGGTTGGGCAGAAATTTTAAGGAGGATGGGTTTCAATAAAAAAATTCAGATTTTAAAAAGAGGAAGAACCTCTGGATACCTTAGATTTACCTAAAGAAATTAATAAGTTAAAGTTGATTTGATTCTACAGTGATTTTTTTTTTATAGAGTTGCTATTTTTTCTTGATTTATTCGATTTTTTTTTATTTTTTAGCACTGATGCTACTGAGGCTTTATGTCGTACTAGTACAGCCAATCGTACAATGAAGGGCCATTTGCGAATGAATTTTGACAAAGGTGTTCGACACTATACTGGTGGAGTTTTTGAATATGTGGAAGATCCAGTTATAGAAAGTGCAGAATCTGGAGTTACGGGACAATTGAAAGTGCCAAAGGGAATACCAGCTGGTGGAATTAAAATTAGTGTCATAGGGAAAAATTTGGCATATATACAAAATCCACAAATGTATGTTTATTACGAAGAGAAAATGTTTATCAGTGTAAGTAATTTAAATACTAAGCTAACTTTAAAATTTAAATTTTTGGATATATCATTATTGATTAGCTACAAGGTTGTAAAGTTCATAAACAGAATAGCAAAAGATGAGCATGTATGTTTATTTAATAATTAAATTATATTATTTTTAGAATTGTGAAATACAAAGCAATACAAATATGATATGCGAGTCACCAGTTATTGAATCAGAAAACAGACAATTAGATTCTGAAAAGCCTTTAAATTTAGAATATGGTTTCCAAATGGACAATGTTCCTGGGGTGCAGAATTTATCTATGCAGCAGAACAAGCAGGCTTTTCAATTATACCCAAATCCAATTTATGAACCTTTTGATGAGGAAGTCAAATATTACAAGTCTGATTACTTAACAATAAATGTAAGTTCAAAATTAGAAAGTTTTTGTTTTTATTTTATTTTATATTTTAATTATTAAAAATTTTATTAATTTTTTTTCTAAGTAAATGACTGCTAACATATTAGGTTTTTATAATCTGTGGTGTGATCTTTATCTATTATATGGCAATTATATGTATATGTATATATAAGATTTAGATTTTTTTAGGGGCTTTATAGTAGAGAGAGTACAATACAGTGCCTCTGACAAATAACATCAAGCCTAATGGGTGTCTTGCCGTTTAGAATTGATATATTGTTTTTTTTCACGTGAAATGCTAATTAATCTAATTTTAGGTAATACAAGAAAAATTTACGTAAATTTGGTTTTGAAAAATGTTAACTAAAAATTGGTTTGAACAACCACCCTTTTTAGATTACAAAAATTGAGTGCTTGAAAAATCTTGTCACTCGGCGAAATGATTAAACAGAATGTAGAAAATTTGTATATCAGATTTATTTGAACAGTTTGTTCAAATACACAGCAAGCATTTAAATATTAGGACGGAGATGATTTTGCATAGGCAATAAGCCTATGCTACTTAGACAAAAATTTTATAGTTCACACTTTTTTGCTATAAAAATCAAGTAATTTAATAACATTATCACATTATCTTCATAATAAACTTAAATTATGAATAAGTAAATTTGCATGGCAAATTAAAACAACTTAATATAATATACAAATTAAAATGTAAATTTTTTTCATACAAGCTTATGAACATTTTATTTCCTTTTCATAGGGGCAGCATCTCGATCGAGCATGTCAAGAATCTGATGTTGAGGTTAGAATAGGAAACAGTTTTTGCAATGTAACATCATTGTCACGGCAACAATTAACATGTCGACCTCCAAACACCCAGCCCCCAGCAGTGGGTGAGAATGGAGAATTAAATGATATGGAGCTCCCTGAAGTTGTGGTAATTATTGTATTGAACACATAGTTTCAATATGTTAAATGTTTTATATTATATGATGTAGCATTAGGACTGTCAATAAGGAGTTCCGGTTTCCATATTGAACATTTAACATATTTATGTAAGAGTACAAGCTTACATTCAGGGTTTAACTCTGTATATTGCATTATTGATGTTTTTAATGATCAATTAATACCTTTTATGGATTTTTTATGGATCATTTGATTTGATTTGAAAAGTTTCTGTTTCTGTACTTATCAGAAAACAAGAAAAACAATTTTCCTAAATTTCATCAAATTCTTCTAAAATTTAGTTTTAGTTAATATCATCAAGTATTTTATTTTATTCTTCATTATTTAAAACAGTTGTTTCATAAAAAATTGTTGGACATATATTTGAAAGCACAAATATTGTCTTATCAATTTAATATTTTCATAATTTATATTGTAATATTTATATATTCATTAGGTTAAGGTTGGACATTCTCTGCAGTATACTATTGGTAAACTATCATATGCACCTGCTGGTATAAATGGAGCTCTGACTAAGCCTGCAATGATTGGAGTGATAGTAGGCATAGTGATTTTAGTATTCATATTTATTGCTTTCTTAATAGCTTATCGTAGAAAATCTACAGAAAGCAATAGAGTATTAAAGAATATGCAGGAGCAAATGGATATACTAGAATTACGTGTTGCTGCTGAATGTAAAGAAGGTAAGATTAATTATTTTATAATGTGCAATTATCTGATATCAGTGATATAAATATTGGAATTGACATTGAAGATACATATTTGTAACATAATATATCCGTATTATGTTACAAATAAATTTTTGTACATATTGTCACTAGGATCTATTCTAGATGCATTTATGTATGCGGTCACAAAAATTACATCTTATTTTTTGGAATTTTGAAGCTTTAATAGTATATGTATATAAATATGTTTGTATACATACATCTTAGAAGTGTTTAAGACTACCAAGTCGATTATAGTTTACATAGTATACACTACATAAATACAAGATTGAAAACTATCATTTATTTTGCAGCATTTGCTGAGTTACAAACAGAGATGACTGATATGACTGGTGATCTCACATCAGGTGGCATTCCTTTCCTGGATTACCGAACTTATGCAATGAAAATCTTATTTCCTAATATGGATGATCATATTGTCTTGCAATGGGAAAGGCCAGAATTACTTCGCAAAGAAAAGGGATTAAGGCTTTTTGGGCAACTTATTATGAACAAAACATTTTTATTATTGTTTATTAGAACTTTAGAAAGTAATAGATATTTCTCCATGAGGGATCGTGTTAATGTTGCTTCTCTGATTATGGTAACATTACAAAGCAAGATGGAATATTGCACTGATATACTCAAAACCCTTTTAGCAGAACTTATCGAAAAATGTATGGAAGGCAAAAGTCATCCAAAGTTGTTATTAAGAAGAACAGAAAGTGTCGCTGAAAAAATGCTTAGTGCTTGGTTCACTTTCTTATTATACAAATTTCTCCGAGAATGTGCTGGGGAACCCTTATATATGTTATTTAGGGCAATGAAGGGGCAAGTTGATAAAGGACCAGTAGACGCTATCACTTCTGAAGCAAGATATTCTTTGAGTGAGGAGAAACTCATTCGACAGTCTATTGATTTTAAACCTCTGGTAAATACAAAAACTATTGTCATTTAAAATCTATAATGTTGTACATCATGATCAATATTATAGATACTACAGTTACTATGATATCTTAAAGCAAAATTACAAAATAAGTAATAATTGTATATTTTAATAATATTATTTATTATATATCATTTATTATAATATCACCAAATACATATTTATAAGCAAAGCCATAAATATTATCATAATCTTAATTTCCATTGAAATATATTTTTCTTTTATTTTCTTTTTTGAGTTAATGTAATGAAAGTAAAATGATAAACAACAGTAAAACAAAAAGCAAATTCTAATAAATTTTCACCGGGAATATATAAAATTTATGTAAATCCTAAAGTTTTAATAATTTTTTATTTTCAGACAATCTATGCCTCAATTTCTCAACAAACTATATTAAGTGGGTTTGATCCTAACAATGAAAACATTCCAGTGAAAGTTTTAGATTGTGATACAATTAGTCAAGTTAAAGAGAAATGTTTGGATACCATATATCGTGCCATGCCTTATTCTCAAAGGCCTAGAAAGGATGATTTAGACTTGGGTAAGTTAATTATGTAGTAATTTAATGTAGAAAATATAAGTATTTTACAGTCTCTAAATTTATACTGTATCTGACAGTAAGATATTTAATAGGGTATCCTCAATTTTGTCATTGCAGAATTTGATATTTTACATATATAAAAATATCATTTCAAACATATCTAATAAAATTTTAACAGTAATTACGTAATTCTTCAATTGATTATAACTTCAGAGATAGTTCAATATATAAATTAAATTTATTAAATTGTGTATATGTAATTTTTTGAATAGTTCAATATTAATTCATGACGTATTATGTTATGTACACTATTTTTAAGTAACATATTTTTTGATTTGTAGAATGGAGAACTGGTGCATCTGGTCGTTTAATATTATATGATGAAGACACCACAACTAAGATGGAAAGTGACTGGAAGAAACGAAATACATTAAATCACTATAGAGTTCCAGATGGTGGCATACTGAATCTTGTTCCTAAGCAAAGCTCAATATACAATTTATCTATTTTATCCGATAAAAATGATAAGTCTCACAAGTAAGTTAAATAACTTCATTATTTAAATTGCATATATATGTACAAATAATATTTTATAAATATAATAGTTATGTAACCTGAATATAAAAACTATATTATGTATAGTTTATGGTCAAAAGTGCTCTTTCTTTTATTTAAAAAAGAATTAATAGTAATCAGTTTAATTATTACAAATACCTGGAATAGTAGTTTTAACACAATTCAAAAATGCTAAGAAATACAAAACTATAATATCCATTAAAAATATTTGTTCTGAATGCTAAAAAGTTTTATTTTATTAAATTTTTTAATGTAGCATTTTATATATTTTGTTTGATGTTTTGTTCAACATCATTTATTTATAGGTATGAAACTTTGAATTTAAGTAAATTTAGTTCTGCAAGTCCACCTTTAAGTCGTGCCACAAGTCCATTAAATCATGATAATGATGCTGGGTTGAAGTGTTGGCACCTTGTTAAACATCATGATACTGATGCCCAGAAGGAAGGTGACAGGGGTAACAAGATGGTATCAGAAATTTATCTCACAAGACTTTTAGCCACTAAGGTAAATCAAATTTAATTCACTCTTAATTAAAAGCTAGCTTAAAAGAAAAATTAATAATAAACATTTTCATGTTTTGTTAAATTACAAGTATTTCTTTTATTTTACAGGGTACTTTGCAAAAGTTTGTAGATGACCTATTTGAGACAATCTTTAGTACAGCTCACCGGGGTTCAGCCCTACCCTTAGCCATTAAATATATGTTTGATTTCCTAGATGACCAGGCTTTGCAACATGGAATATCTGATCCAGAAGTGGTACATACATGGAAAAGCAATAGTTTGCCACTCAGGTATTTTTCATATTTAATAGTCAACTTTAGCAATTTGGTATGAGACATACTTTTTACTAAATTTAATTTTATATTTCAGGTTTTGGGTTAATCTCATTAAGAATCCAAATTTTGTATTTGATATACATAAATCAAATATCGTTGATTCATGTTTATCGGTTGTTGCACAAACTTTCATGGATTCTTGCTCCACGTCTGATCACAGATTAGGTGATTTAAATAACATATTTATAATAAACTAATTTATTTTTAGTAAACTGTTAAAACCAGAATTTTATTTTTATTCAGGCAAGGATTCGCCAAGTTCCAAGCTACTGTATGCAAAAGATATACCTGTATATAAAGAGTGGGTAGAAAGGTATTATTCTGATATTAAAATAATGCCTGCCATATCTGATCAGGATATGAATGCCATGCTTGCCGAAGAATCTAGGGTAGGTTTATAAATAACAATTGGCAGTTGAGCACAAATTAAAATATATCATACAAATGACATTGTGAAGCTCCAATTTAATTATCTTGCAACATTAATTTGTTTGAGATATAAGCTTCATATCTTTAGATGTGTACATATAATCAAACATGATTTTTCTGTATAGTATTACTTTATAATTAAATTATAAATAATATTATTTTAAATAGCATCTTCAAAAGTATTATCTTTTTATGATTATTATCTAATATTTACTTCAGAACAAAACCTTAAGTATCAATTAAATAGTATAGGCTAATATTCTCTTTGTTTTAATGTGCGCATATTTAACTTTTCAGATGCATACAACAGAATTTAATACGAATTGTGCTTTGCATGAATTATATAATTATGCAATGAAATATAATGAACAATTGACAGTGACACTGGAAGAGGATGAATTCTCACAGAAACAACGTTTGGCACTAAAGTTAGAGCAAGTACATAGTATAATGTCTGTTGATTCAAATCCGTGACCAGAAGTCATAAATTGGACAAATCATACAGAGTTACCATGTTGATAAAATTTCTAATAATTAAGGATATCATTTCCTAAAAAAAATTCTGAAACAGTAAATATAAAATCACATTTTTTTAAAACTATTACAAGATTTATAAATACTTTTTTACTGCTCCTTTCACATTCAAATTAAATCAATTTTGATTTTAGTAATTTGTGACATTATTAATTAGTTTATATTGTTTAATGATATTTTGTACATATTACTCGCATAGTTTTAAAATATTGTGAATATAATTTGTTATGAATGCATATCACGCGTTTTATAACATATTTATGTCTGATTGGGAGTAATTGACTAACATTTTGCACTTTGCATAGATCTACTGATGTTTGTTAACATCACTGCTTTTGTTAGAAGTCATATTTTTTAATCATTCAACACTCACCTCTTTGAGCTTTTGATAATTTTGATTGAATATTGTATATATTATGTCTGTATGTCTGTAAGTATGTCTGTATATATGTATATGATATATATATACATACATATATACATATATATATATATATATATATATATATACATATATGTATGTATGTATGTATGTATGTATACATACATTTGTATGTATGTCTTTATTTGCATATGTATGTATGTGTATATATAGGTACTTGTGTATATGTATATGTACCTGTATATTTATATAAGTATCTATGGTATACATATAGATATACATATGTATGCGTGTAAATACTAAAAATTGATATTTGAAGAGTTTTTACATAATTTTGCCAATCTGTCCTAATTTATGTTAGTGAATTTGTTAATTTACGGAGACTGAAACTATAATTATAGATTTGTATATATGAAACTATGTAATTTTAAGAAAGAAAAAATTTAAAATCGATAACTTAAATTAAAAATAAAAAGCATTTAAATGGTGGTGTTATAACATAAAAATATATCCAATAAAATAATATGGGTAAACATATATGACCTATCAATGTGCCAACTATACAAATGAAGCAAGACTAACATATCCATATACCACCAGTTTTATGTTTGAATGTGATTTTATACAACTCTTTTAAAGGTTTATTGCGCAGTTGGCCTAAAATTATTATTGTTCATAGTTAAAAATAGCATTCTTTGCAAGTCAATTGTGATGAATGTAACTCAATGGTGTATGAAACAATATTGTATTTAATAATATTGTCATTTTATATAAAAAAGTGTTTTGTGAAGAATGCCTTTGTTTCAAGACTTGCCTTGAATTTTTTTTAACCATACACACTAAACAGATTATTAATGCTTTTACATATTATAAAATTTATTTTATCAAACGTATTAAACCCAAACAAGTTCCTGTTTCTTAATTTAATAATAATAAGGAATATAGAACTTAAATAAAGTTGTCAGGGACAATCCAATAATAAATATGTTGACATTTTTGGCATTTCTGTTAGTATTACTGTAAAGTGACTGATTGTTATACATTATAATGTGTGTAGTGTCTATGGACATTTAATTTGTACAACTATGCCCGATGGCTGTGGTGACACATTTCATTTTTTATCTAAATATAACTTGTGTGTATTCATGTAATTAAGTATTGATGGTAAAGATGATTGAAAATAAAAATTTTAAACAATTTGTATCCAATTAGTATACTTACCTACACAGGTGTTTTGATAAATCTGTGTACATATTTCTGTATCTTATATAATATATATGTATGTGCAAAACACACACATATTCAATATATATTAATTTATATATTAATAGAGTATAATGATCAAAGTTAACATTCACTTGATTTTTTGTTAGACTCTGCTAGTATATATGTCAACATAAATTGAACATTATATATATATATATATATATATATATATATATATATATAATTTTGTAAGCTGGTGTGTTTGTATGTACATGAAAAAATGCATGCAGCATGCTTAAATGGAATGCATTCTTGAATTAATCAGGAAATTGTCTGGAAAAAACATTGTTTTGATGAATATTTATATGATGAATATATTATATTTATATGTTATATAAAACTATTTATCTAAACTTATAAATAATATATTACATCATTTTGGGGATAATTTTTACATGCAACAAGTATATATACATGGTGTCTTTGTATATATACATTTGTATATGTACATATAGCATACTTATAACATCCCATAAACGTTTAATTTAACCTTTGTTATAAACATCAGTGAAATCTTGATTACATATCTAGAAAGTATAGAAAATCCACTTTTTAAGTTAAAAAGTTTAATATTTAAATGTGCATACAAATAACAACATAACTGCTAAAAAATTGAAAATTTCAAACAATTGCAAGTATTTTAATTTTAGGTGTTTTCATATTTTATTTGTACTGATGATATTTGTGTATTTGATAATACAAACGTACGAAACAATAAATGTAACTAATTGTAAGTGGTGTACATATAATGCATAATAAAAATTAAATGTTTATTGAGTGGGTGTGTCAAGAATATCAAAAGAAAATTAGGATACAAAAAATATATACAAATTTTGATTATAGTTACATTTTATAAAAAATAATGTATTGGTGTTTCGAAAACATTAATAATATGTATTACTTGTCGCCGTATATATTTAATGTTTAAATGTAACTTTATATGTATATATTAATCATGTATGTATATGTGTGTATATATGTGTGTATGTAAAACTGTGTATGCTTTTATTACAAAGATAAGTGTGTATATCAATGTACTAAGCTATAAATTGAATTCCGAATAAATTTTGCCTAATGGAACAATTCGCCACTAGTACTATAATTATTCTTAATGTGCTGTCCATATATAAATAACTGTGAAATAATATTGCTTAAAAATATTTGATCTAAATGCAATGTGATATAAAGTTTGGTCAAATTGTAGATATATAATAATTTTGCAATTATCAAAACAAAATGTGAAACTTGATCTGTTGTTTGTTTGCAAATATTTTTGTATCAAAGTTTTCTTTTATTGAATTAAAACTATTTCTAAGAAAATGGACTATTTTGTAGATGGTCACCTGACCTTTAATCTATAGGGTAATTTCTTAATTAATGTAAACATGTGATTGTTAACTAATAATATTTAGGACAATGTTAATCAATTGTGGTTGCATAAGAAAATTTTAAATTTTTTCTGTATGCTCAGAATATTAAAGAAATTGATAGAAACGTGATATTGCTTTAGTATAAATATCATGCATTAATTATTAAAGTTTCATGAATATTAAACTGTGCTTTCAATTAAACTCACTGCTCTCATCGATTAAAGTGCTGTTGGTCACTATTACTTTTGCCTGAGAAATTGATGAACATTTTTAATAAAATGTATTCAATGTTGTGTTTGACGAGAGCTTTTTTTATTTAATTTGAAATATCAGGATGCCATTTATTGTGAGCATGATATTTGAATTAGAAATAAAAAAGAGTGTTGTAGTGTCTTTATATAAATTATTATTTTATAACGTGTTGTACGTACATGTCTAATTATATATGTATATATATATATATATATATATATATATATAAATATATATAAATATATAAATATATATATAAATATATATATATATATATATATATATATATTTTACAACACAACACACAAAACGCGTTTGCATTGAATCAATTGTTTACTATTTAAAATTTAACAAAATTTATATATTTGTATATATACACATACATATACATATATATACAAATTTATTTAAAATGACTTCGATTATTATCAATTAAAATTTATATACTAAGGGCGCATAACAATTTTGATTAAAGCTTTGTGTGTGAACATCATTCCTATATTACTATTTGGAATTCAATTTATGGGTATTTCAAGCACAATATATCTACATATTAAAATTTATATGTATTTATACATATATATATATATATATATATATATATATATATATATAATGTGTCTGTTCAGGAAGTGTAACTTCAATCAGTGCATAAATACAAATTTTTCCTTATGTGGAAATCAGCAATAATATAATTGCCCTATGTTTTATACTAGATTATTGTATGATATATCAAAAAATAAAGGTATTGATTTTTATGTGAAATAACGACCTTTTTTATAGTGATGATTTTATTACGCAATTTACTAATTTAGTGAAAAATTGTGAAACCTCTGTTTCAATCACAATCATCTATATCATCTATAAGCATAAGAGCTTTATGATCTATCTGAGGTACAATATAAACCAATTATTTATTTTAATTACAAAATATTGCAAATGTTAATTGAAATTTAAAATAAGTAATTAACAGATTTATACAAATGAATATCAATAATAATATTTATTTATTTATTTTACAGTTATCAATCACTAAGCTAGGAAAAAAACTAACAAGGTGAATATTGTGAATTAAATTCTTATTGGAAATATAGAGTTATGGCGTTATGAATAGAAGAGATATTTTTGAATGAAACTGAACATTTGAAATATTATTGGCTTTAATGAATGAACTATAATCACAAATTCCTACTACTATACTTATTAAGTTCCCGTAGGGTAATAAGTTATAAAGTAATCGCAAAAAAACGTAAATGAACATTTTTATATATCTTTACGTTTCAAAAGCTTCTGAACATTTTGGCATACCTTAAAAAAAAATGGATGTATGTGTGTGTGTGCGTGCGGATACAAATTTTCGTCGACTATTTTAGGAACACGGATCAACCGATTTGAATAATTTAAAAAACATTCGATTCGTATTGATAATGAGACGTAACTGATTAATTTTTGGCAAAGGCAGGTCTAACCGTTCCGAAGATACGAACGGAGCGTCCGATTTTAATAATTCAAAAAAGATTTTACATGTATTGACAAGATGAAGAACTGATTAAATTTTTAGGAAGGCAGGTCTATCGGTTTCGGAGATGTAATAAAAAAAGCAAAAAAAAAGACTTGGCGGTCAAAAATGATCATTAGACATATGCACATCAAATTATTAGATATTTTATAGAGATTTTAATAATGTGTATCAATTTTGTTTACATTTCTATGGGTTCCGTAACATCGGTAAACTTTTTTCCAAAAAAGCCAATTTTTTTCCAAAAATTTAATTCTTAGAAATCAATTTTTTTTCAAAGATTAAAAAAAAATTGTCTTTAAAAACAAAACTTTTGGTACGAGACGTTCCATCAAGTTTACACCCATGGCCGGTAATCTCCGAACAAATGTAGATTACCGTGTTTTGAAATGGATTGGTATTTGAATAGTTCGAAGGATGGCGCTACGATTTCCAATTTTATTGATCTAGCAGCTGGCTTGTTGATCTACATTGATTTGATCGGCCATCTTCTATAAGTTGTCAAATTGTCATCGCGTATTGTAGTTGAGATTTTCTGTGATTGTTTATATATAATTATGTTTTGGTGAATACTTTTTTCATTTATTATTAAGTTAAAATGATAAAGTGTTATGTGCCAAATTGTTATAACCCCAAATATAATAAAAAAATGCATGTCTTTCCGGCATCTAATTATCAGGTATGTATATAATGATGTATTATGCATATAATGAATATGTATCATCACAATACTATTAAAATGTTATATATATATATATATATATATATATATATATTTGTGTGTAAATATTTGTGTGTAAAAAGATGCTTTCAATTTGGATGCAGAGGGCGAATAATCTTTTAATGGATGACCTAACTCTTCGGTTTGTGGCACAAATCAATGATAATTTGAAATCGAAACCAAATAGAAGTGTCTCATTTACGGCAATAACAAAATAGTTTTCAAGTCACTGGAGAATGCTCTGATACAGAACCAGAAGAACAATCTGCAACTCCAAGGACAAGGACAAGTAATTATAACTCTAAATACTTCAATAACATTTGCAAAAAAATATTAATAAATGAATCTTATGTTCTTAGGAGATGGAAGCCTAAACACCTTGAAAAAGATTTTTGCAGCACCTCTAAGATTGTGAAGTGCAGGTTAAAAGTCACCTATTCTGACACCAGTTTTCTGAAAAGGTATTTTTTCATACTAATTGCAGCAAAAATATTTAATATGATAATTACAATATCTTCAAATAATATGATATAACAATATATTCAATAGGAGTCCTTGATGGTAGCAGAATGCAATGATAAGGCGTAGGAGTGCCTTAACACCCAGAAGGTGTATGATACATCAAATTTTGTTTCGGGATTAAAATGCAATGCAATAATTTAAAGGATAAATTCCAACAGAGTATACAATGTTCTGAGAAGTTTTCGAACATTCCGGAAACTTAAAATGTAAGGGCAAGAATTTTGATAATGTCTCAATTAAGAGAGCATACTCAAAGACCAGACTGTTTATAAAGCGTAAGGGTTTAGTTATAGTAACTAAACCTCCTTGCAATAAAAACTGGATTAAAACGATAGATAGATTTGAGCTACAATTGGTATAAATTAAAAGTAGTTCAGGGTTTTGGTTACTTACGTTTAAAAAAACCCTTATACAGAAACTATTCAAAGATTTCGTCAAATATAACTTTATTAATGGTTGATCAGATAGCAAAATAACTATTAAATGGAGAGATAATAAACAAGAATGTCTCGTAAATGAATTTTAATCCTAGGAATTTAGTTTTATCTCAATTTGGATATCAATATATATATGTTTTGTTTTTAGGATTATTTTGTTTGGAAAGTATTCATTCTTTTTTAAGAATGTGCTGTTCTTTTTATCCTTTTAAATTATTGCATTACTTGTCATTCCTTCTAAATTTGTCATAACATCATCAATACTCCTGCACTTTTTACTTCTTAGTTTTTAAGTTTTTAATATATTATTATTAGTCATTAAGTAATTAATATGAATAAGTTATTTCTAGAATATTGATTGAATAAGTACTTTAAAAATATGTCTGTAATATACTTTAATTAATAGTAGTCAGTTATTTCTGGTTAATTTATAATTCTTCAAAAATATTTTGAAAATATATTTTGTATTTCGTATGTTTTGTTCTTATTTCAAATATTTTTTTTCAGATTTTTGGGCTGTATTGATTTTATGTACAAATGTAGAAGTAATACCAGGGGTTAATTTACATACTGTATGAACATGTGCTGCCATGTAGTGATCTATTCGTAAATTAAAATGAGTGTAACGTCAAATGGCCCGAGATAGCGATCTATTTATGCTTATTTATCTATGTTTACACCACTAGTTTATCCATGATTCTAAAAATATGTCTGGAATATACTCTTCTTTTATCTATGGATGAATATGCAGAATAATTTGTCTATTCGCCGGTAGTGTCGTAGTCGTAGTCAGTTTACTTGTCAATCAAAACATTCATTTTTAACCTTTAAAAAAGATAAAAATACCAATAGTTTTTGTACATTGTACTTTTATCTGTCCACTGTTATTTAATGTATTTTGAACTTATGTACGACGCAGCATAATAATATATTTTTCTTAATGATCCATATTTGTAATATGTCATAAAAGAGAAAATGATACAAGTGGTTTAGATTAATAAATGTTCGAATTTACTATATATGAATTAATACATGATTAGACTTTATTAATTTAGATTGCTAGAACAGTAATATTCAATATAATATAAATGTGTGTTTGATGCGATTTAGTTTTTTGTGAATTTGAAAATGACAATAAAATCAAGCTCAGAGAGCAATGGTATTTTATCTGGGTCTTGGCCTTTTTTGTGTTTTTTGTTAGGTTCTTTATGTATACCAATTACTTTGCCATGGATTATATGTCAATTAGTTTCAAAAATTCAGTTAAAAAAACAGAGAGCGGATCTTCAAGGAAAGGTAATTCAATTTCTTCTGTTATTTGTTCTTGTATAATGTTATACAAGAACGAATAAACATATTCAATTTCTTCTGTTATTAGTTCTTGTATAATATTATACAAGAACGAATAAACATATGTTTATTGTATGTTTTGCTCATACGAAATCACATAAGTTAGTTTCAAAGTTTCAGGTTCCAAATTCCTTCATTATGGGAAATTATTTTGGTTTTCAACTTCACAAAAATATTTTGTTTAAATATAATTTTTAAACTTAATTCTTTTAGGTGATTATATTTGATGTGTTGTTACTACATAATTATTTGAAGATTTTGTTTTATATATCTTATTTAAGGTAGTTGTAATTACTGGGGCAAGTAGTGGTCTTGGAGAAGCTCTTGCACATTCATTTTATAAAGTGGGATGCCAAGTAGTTCTGGCAGCTAGAAGGAAGGATGAGCTGGAACGTGTTAAACAGGAATTGATGCAATCTTATTCAGTAGGTTTATGTATATATCTAGTATTGTGCTTATATGCAATAATAATCCAGAGTTCTATTCATTTGTTAACTGCCACCAATTGTTTTAGCATGCTTTTTACATGATTTGATTATGATTTATATTTATTTTCAGACTGTTACAACATTGCCTCCAATGGTATTGCAATTGGATTTATCAGATCTTAAAAGTATTCCAAGTAAAATGAATTATGTACTTGATGTATTCAAACATGTCGACATTTTGATAAATAATGGTGGAGTTAGTCACAGAGGAGATGTTTTAACCACAGATATTGATGTTGACATTAAGGTCATGTTGGTGAATTATTTTGGGATGGTCGCATTAACTAAAGGTATGATTGAGTGGGTAAGCATTTTTATATCTTTTCTCATTATGTTTATATTCTTTATATTTATATTTTATCTGATTTAATATTTATTTTAAATTTTTGATAATAGAATATTTTTGTATTAAATATAAAGCACTTTTGTTATAATAATTTTTCTAACCTAGTTAATGATAGAAAATAGTACAATGAAAATGTAGAAATCATATGGCCAATAACTTTTTCAATTGAAATATGATTAATAAATTCTATAATATTTGTTCACACAGTGGATTATGTTAAACAACCCCTAAACAAATATTGTTTTCGGAACTTCACTCATCATGTAATTGGGTTTGAAGAACTTCATATAAATAAAATTAACATACATTTATTGACTGCTTGTATTTTTTTACTTTTTTGCTGGCGATATAATCTCATTCTTTGAACAGCTGTAATATCTGTCTTGCCTAAAAAATATTTTCAATTTTAATAACTTCAAAGATTTATAGAAACTATGAATAATTTCTTATTCATGAACTTACGGTTAGTTCACGGCACAAATGTTTAATTTGTTTTATTATTTTCATGGAGCATTGTAAAATGTGTTTCTGATTCAGGCATTTTTCATTAAATCAAGATTTGGACTGCGTTGTAATTAATAAATAGCAATCAAAATCACATAAAATTCTGTAAGGTATTCTGCTATGGTTTAACAATACGATGTAACTTTGAAATGTTTATTTATCTATGCCGATTTACTTGTTGATATCGGTACGCATACAACGTTGATGCCGGTACACATACAACAACAGATCTCTATTCACATACACGACGACTAATCACAATGGACCCGTATTGAAATGATTTCATTGAGAGCGAATGACGTACAGTTCGGGCGTAACGCATTTCCGTTGCATTTGTATAGATTTACTCTAGTCGCGTCTAAAGAAGTTTTACTTCAAAAATATTCTGGATATTTGGCATAAAGCGAAATTTTGAACTATTCTATTTAGGGCATGAGAGCATCTTGCTAAGTATAAAAACCTTTTGTACAGAAATCTATTTTTATATAATAAAAAAGAAAAAAACATAGCTAACTTTGATTATTTTTATGAATAACGATCTTTTTTTTTTCTTATTGATAATTTTTAGAGGTTGTAAATTTGCTTAAATATTTCACCAATTGCAAGCTTTTGTACACAAAATTATTCTTAAGTTTTGATATATATGTGCAAAATGTTTGAACTAATCAGAAAAAATATTACATACCATATTAACGCATCAAGAAATTTAAAAGTAATATGATTAAAAGCATGTATAACTCGGCAATCGATTATGACAATGCTATCTTCTTGTACTAGGATTTTGTTATACGTTTGTAGCTATCATATTAGCAATTCTTTTGTAACTTCTACCTATCTTTTTGAGGAGTTTATGAAGAGATTATTGTTTGTTATTAAGAGTTTAGTACTAATTATAAGTTATAAAATAATATGTATAATATTGTATATGTTTATTTGTAAAGTTAAGTTGTCAAGTAAGTTGTAAAGTGATAATTTATAAGTATTTGACAATATTACATCTGCATCTACTATTAAAAGTTTTATACAATTTCTATACTATGTCTACATTTTTGCTTTTTTTGCTTTTTGTGTAAATTAACTAATTTTGATATTCATAGCTATTTTGCCATCAATGATAAGCAGAAAGAAAGGACACATTGTTAGTGTGAGTAGTGTCCAAGGAAAAATAGCGATTCCTTTTAGATCAGCATATGCCGCTTCTAAACATGCTATGCAGGCATTCTCTGATTCTCTGAGGGCTGAAGTTAGTAAAGATAACATTGATGTTACCGTTGTTAGTCCAGGGTATATTAAGACTGATCTCAGTATAAATGCGGTTACTGGAACTGGTGCTAAATATGGAGGTGAGAAAAAATATTTGTTATCTTAATATTTTTATTATCCATCATATCTCTATATATTATATATAATATTAATACTTTTGTCTATTGTTACGTTATTTTATTGGCACATTATATTTTATGAATATTTATTATGAATTCGGTTGTTTTTGATGTAATAGCTGCAATTATTTTTAATACATTTCATACAACATCAGACAAACAAATCTCTATATGCATAATGTATATATATATATATATATATATATATATATATATATATATATATATATAATATTTATGTGGAGAGAAGAAATGGTAAACCACCAATTGCCATATATATATATATATATATATATATATATATATACACATATATATGTATATATATATATATATACATATATACATTGCAATTGGTGGTTTACCATTTCTTCTCTCCACATAAATATTTAAGTTCAAGATCAATTCATAAAAACATTTTATTTTTTCTTAATTTACTTAATTTTTATCAAAATATAAATTTTTTTATTGAATCAAGTGTATAATTTTTAATCTTAATTTTAATTTTTTGTATAATTTTTAATCCTCATAATAAGTAAAGAAAGTCAAGTTTTGTGAACACTAAATAAATAGATATTTTTGACAAAAACTGTTTTAACCTTTATTTTAAACCACTATTTTAAACATTAAATATTTGGAAAGCAAAGTTCTAAATGTTATTACCAAGATAATAGTAATAATGATAAATATAAAATGTAATAAAAAATTATAAACACCTGGTAAATTAAATGATCCATCAGTTGTTCGTAACTTCCCAAAGATTTTATGTGTTCTCGAAGTTTCAAGTCATTCATAATCGTTTAATACCAAGTATGAAAAAAGTACGTTTGTGTATGCATGTGAGTTGAATTTTGACCCTTTGTCTTCGTTTTCTTGAAAAACACTGAACCAATTATAAAAATTTAAGTCATTTGACGTAAGTCGATAAAGACTTGCATTGATTAGTTCTGCAAGATGATCGGTCAGGCCGTTTCTTTAGAATAAGCAGAAAAAAGAAAAAAAAATCTGCGATTTTCAAAATTTTATTACTGATCAATTTTTGGCTAAGATTTAATGGCCTAAACGAACATCCTAAAATATTACAATCCTACGAAAAGTGGTTGTATTATAAAAATTCATTAAAGTTTAGAGTGGGCTGACCTTTTTGGATACTTTGTGTTTGTGCACTATATTTAATACAATTTCATATATTATAAGTGCGGTCGAAAGACGTCATTTGCGCAGGACAACGTATATTGTTTTGTTTTCACCACCCTTATAGTTTTTAGTGCATAGCATGTATGTGTGTTTTGTAGATAAAAAGTTATAAAGATATGTGATGAGCTTACTTAGTATAATTTTATATGTCATGTGTATTTTTACAGTTATGGATGCTACAACAGCATCAGGATATGAACCTTCAACAGTAGCAGAAACTATTGTAAATGCAGTGGCAAATCGAAAAAAAGATGTTATTATATCTACATTATCTCCTCAGCTGGGCATATTATTACGCACTGTATGTCCTTCATTTTATTTTTGGCTCATGAAAAATAAAGCAAAAAGTGGTACAAATTTTTAATACCATTAGTTATAGTTTATATATGAAATTTAACTAATGTTTTATATATGTATAAGTGCAATAAACTAATAAATTTTATAACAAACTAATAAAGTAAAAATATTTATAATTGATTAATTTTATTTATTTCATTACTTTCATTTATTATTGTTTTTAGTATTGAATATTGAATCATGCAGTATTTTCTTTCTTTTAATAAAAATTACAATAACCTGTTGTGCATTTATGCTTTAATATAAGTGAGAAAAATTACAAAATTTATTTATTTAACACATTCTACCCGGCACGGCGCTCTTCAGTTAGTTCCCGAAACAGAAGTAAATTTTCGTCTTTATTCAAACATTCAACGGATGCCTGAGCATATTTTAACATTCATAGATTTAATTTGTGATCAAATTCAGATTGTTCTAGTTTAATGATAAATGATAATTCAAATATTAAATTATATAAAATATACAAATTATAAATTGTATTATTGATATAATAACGAAATAAGTTACATGACATGGCTTATTAACTTCCCGAAGGAGAAGTTTATGTTTTCATAAAAAAATCCGATTCGCTAATTTTATGTTTTCTCGACGTTTGAAGCCATTCTGAATCGAATAAGATCAAATTTGAAAAAAGTATGTGTGTGGTGTGTGCGTGTATGTGAACAGGTTTTTTCCCGTAAATCGACGTTTTCTCTAAAAACGACTGGACCGATTTCAAAAATTTAAAAGCCATTCGATGTATCTCGATGAGGACTAGCGTTTATCAATTTTGCGTGACGATCAGCCAAGCCGTTTCTTTGTATTTCATAAAAGTGAAAAAAAAATTTTCCACGTTTTAGCCCGCAATTCTAAATCAATTTTGAAAATTCAAAAACCGTTCGAAAAATATTGGTTGAGAATCGACCTGATTAGTTTTTGGTAAAGATCGGCCGGGCGTTTTCTTGTAATAAAGTGTTAAAAAAAAATTTCGACGATGTTTATTATTGTTTTTTGACGGTAGATATCATACTATATATAGTCTTATAGATCATGCTAAAATATTACGGCCCTACGACAACTCGTTTAGCTTTAAAAATTCGTCAAAGTATCATCTCGATGAGGATTATCGTTTGTCAGTTTTGTGCGATGATCTGCCGAGCCGTTTCTTTGCAATTTATTGGAAAGAAGTGTTAAATTTTTCGTCGACATTTAAGCTCATACTACCGAATCGATTTTAAAAAATCAAAAACTATTCGAAAGATATTAATTGGGATTTGGGAATGATACTGATTAGTTTTAAGTGAAAATCTACCGAGCCGTTTTTTTGTAATTACCTGTTGAAAAAAAAATTTAAGCCGATTTTCATGGAACTTTTTTTGGCGACATATATATCATGGTCTTATAGAACTTACTGAAATATTACGGTTTTACGACAAGTAGTTTAATTTTAAAAATTCATCAAATGAATAGTTTTTTTTATGTTTGTTAAAATTAAAATTAGACGAGTTACTTTTGGTTTAACGATAAAGTGTTCGTTCGGTTTCAATAATGTCATAGGATTTCAAGATAACTTCGATACGACTTTAGGGGGCGTCCATTAATCACGTGTGGTTTTTAGGGGAAGGGGGGTTTGACAAAAAATCACAAAATATCACGTGAGGAGGGAGGGATATAGTAAGATATAGCGTGCGTTTATTTTTTTACCTGATTTTTTTTTCAAAAAATTCAAATATTTGATAAAAAAAAAAAGATTTTTCTCTCGTAACTAAAAATACACGTGCTGTTAGTTGTTGGAGAGGGGGTATAATTTTGAATAACACCACGTATCACCAAAAGGGAGGGGAAGTCCAAAAATCCTTAAAAAATCGATCACGTGATTAATGGACGCCCCCTTACCAGCGCTAACAGAAATAATTATTTGTGTTGGTAGTTGGTACCTATGTATAATATTAATTTTGTACAAATACTATAATGAAGGTTAAGGGTGTTCATATCAAAAACATAGAAAATGCTAATTTAAATTGAATTCATCGTAATTTTTGTATATTAATATAATGAAAAATTAAGTTTTATATTTTTGCCGCGCCCATTGCAATAAGCCACACCCACCAAAATCATCTGCTAGAAAATACTCTTCTAACTAAATGGACGTGTAACAATTTCAAGAACTGGGTTCTTACTTTAGTAAATGTCAAAACTCAGATATCAATGAAACATTTCAACTACGAATAATGAAATATTTTGATATAATGACAAATAATATTTAGGTTATAATAATTAAAAATAATATTTTTCGTGTATTATAGTATTTCTACATGTCAGGAATTCAGGAAATTCAGTGGTAAATAGTGCTTATTAAAAGTGGAATTTATCGCTTTTCCTAATATTGTTTTCTTAATCATCTTGTTTAGGTATTGTGATATAAATAAATCGTCTAAGACAAAACTTCGATCTTTGAAATGGGATAAAGCTGAAGATCATCCTTTAAAACTACTGGTCACAACTGTGAATATAATTGATTTATTTTTTAACTAACTTATTTTTAAACTAGCCGTTCTGATTAGTCTTAATTTTAACAGTATACAGACAATAACTTAATACGAAGGAATGCCAACGATCATAATGCAATATCAAATACTCTATCAGATCCTTTACTACTGGATGGGCTGGATCCCCTCAGCGAGTTTAAAAGAAGTGAGAACATGGATCCCTTGACTAAAATAGCCATGGAGGAAAATGTAATTACTTAATGTACAATTTTCATTTGTCTTATATTATATAAATTATACTTGAACATTTTGTATTTGAAGTAAAAATTTCATATGGCCAGTAATATATATATATATATATATATATATATATATATATATATATATATATAATTCAAATTATTTTGACAAATTACCCGAGCATAGTATTTCTATTTATGTCAATGTATATGAAAGAATGTAAATAACATTATTTGATATTTTACATAAATTAGACATAAATAGAAATGTTAAATATATGACACAATAAATATCCTTATACATCTTTGATTCTTATTTTATTGCCTTTGAAGAGTTTTAACCTACTTTAAAGTTTATCCAACTATTATATTTTCACATTTGTTCTCTGATCGTAAAGTTTTATGAATTAATAATAATGGATACAGTATATGAATTTTACTATTGTTTACAATTATATTTACAGACAAGGAATGATAAATATTCACAAAATAGAAAAAAGCAGTCAAAAAATTTAACCTTGAATTCTGATGTTGAACCATGGTCGACACGACGAACTGCTATTCTATGCAAATACACTACTTCAGAAAAATTGTCAATCGTAAGCAATTTTTTGTCTGGTGGGGAAAAACGTAAGATTATTTTTAATGGCTAGTCTAATATTAAACCGTGATTAAGAAACTTATTAAAAATGTCTACAATATTTAGTGATAGTATCGCAACTATTTCACAAGGCTTTTCATAAAAATTATCTTGGGTTAGCTGGTGCTTTTAGCTTAGTTTATTGCTAATTATATTGTATGAATACAATTATCTATTGCATAAATTTTATTATTTTCAGTGAACTTTAAGACTCAACCAGTCATTGTTGATAAGGTGAAAACAAGGCTGGAACAGTTGGATGAATTTGATGAAGGGACTGCTCAACAAATGCTAGATTTAAATCAACAACAATATATTTGTAGAATAGAACAACTAAATCAAGAATTGATTCAAGCATGGCATGGTGACCAGAGGGTCCGTGCATTGAAAATAGCCATTCAATGTTCAAAATTTTTAGCTGATACCAGTGTAATTCAGTTTTATCCAAGCAAATTTGTCATTATCACAGATATTCTAGATGTATTTGGAAAACTGGTTTATGAACGACTACATTCTAAATCTGTTTATATACCGTGAGCATTTTTTAAAATATTATATTATTAAGATGAACAAATTTCCACTATTATGCCAAGTATTTTATTTTCTTTACTTTGAAAGAACTAATTAGCAATAAATAATTTAGAAATTCAATATTTTTAAAAATTATTTTGTATTATTTAATTAAAATAAATCTTACAAGAATGATATAAAAGTTAATATATTTTTAGAGCCAACTGTACACAGGAAGTTCCACTACCTGAAGTATTTTCATCGGATGAGGTACCAGAATTAGCTAAAGAAACTTGTAGGAATTGGTTCTATAAAATAGCTTCAATCAGAGAACTTTTACCACGTTTATATCTTGAAATGGCTATTTTAAAATCTTATATATTTCTTTCAAAATCGTAAGTGTTATTTTACATTATAAATTTATTATATTAATTTGAACTCATGATTTGTTACAACACATTTATTTAGACAGATTTATCTTGCCATTAAGAGAATTACTAAAATGATTAGGGGAATTGGGAGTCCATTAGTTGCAATTTATGCGAGATGTTACCTTTGCCGGGTTGGAATATTGATATCTGCTTCACCAGAAGATTATTTAAAAGAAAATTTTTTTGAGATTTTGAATATATATGATGAGGTATGACTTGAAGATGACAAAATTGTCAACAAATTTTTGATAAATGCCTTGTCTAGAAATTTAGATTATTTTTATAGCCACATAAATAACTATACATAATTATAAAATGCTAAAAGTGTACTGGAGCATTTTTTTGCTATTATGTTTCATACCTTATGCATACAAAATTTACATGAGTATTTAATTAATTGTTTGTTCTCTATTATGAAAATTAATTCTTTAATATTTCTAAGAATTAATCATAATATATATATATATATATATATATATATATATATATATATATATATATATATATATATTGTTTTTAATCATACAGGTTTTTTCATTAAGATCTATTCAAGAACAATGTGTTCAGTCAATTGAGATATCAGCATACTTCAACTTATTTAATCCAGCATTAGATTGGATTTTACAAAATGTTGCAGCTAGAGCTTCCGAATCTACACTTGATCACATTTTAGATACATGCATTGAAAAACAAAACAGGTTTCTAAACATATTAAATTATTTTATTGCTAAAATGTGTTATAATTTAGTTATTAACTTATATTTGTGTTACAGTGGTATATTATTAAACAATATAATGTGTTCTTTTAAGCCAGAATACATAGCAAAAAGGGCAGTGTTATTTGTGAAACTAATAACGCAATGTGGCAATCAAAGTTATCCTCAACATATTTTACTTTGCACTTTTGGAAATTGTTTAACATTAGCTGATCCACCACATGAAGAATTGTTTAGCATACTAACTAGTGTATGGGAAATTTTTGGACATTTTGCTCAGACAAATCACTATCTTATGTGTGTTGAAAGTTGGATAAAGTATGCAGTCGCACATTTTGGGGTACTTCACATTTTTACAAAAAAAATTTGACTTTCAGTAATTTTTCTACTATTATGTTATTTGTTTTTAGTGTTTTGAAATTAATAAATTATTACGTGATTTAATCAGACATATGGCACCTCATAAAGGTCTTGAAAATTATTACTTACAATTACAAACAATTATAGACCGAATGATATCACATTGTGCTGATCTTGAAGTTTTAATAACATTGGTAAGTTATATCAATTTATAGCTGCTTGTAGCAATTGTGTGTGATTTTGAATTTATTCCAGGACAACTTTATGCCATTGATTGATTTAATTCAAAAAGAGTCTGTCCGTGTTGAAATTTGTAAAAATATCATGAATTCATTGCAAAATCAAAGGGTGGCACATAATATAAATGATCCTGTTGTAATAAATGCCCTTATGTTTATTTGCAAAATTATGCATGATTCTGTGAAGTAAGTAAATTTTGTATATCAAAATATATAATATTTGTATAAATGTACACCTTTATGCATATTTTTGTTATAGTATTTTTTTTAATCAATAGGTTGTATTTTAATTGCTTTTAAAACTTGTTATTAATGAGGAAAGCTGAGTTCTATATTCAAATTTTCTATAACCATAATATACTGTTCTATGAGCTGCAAAGAATGCAAATCCATTTTACAATATAACCTAGTAATTTTATTCATCCATTTTTTTTAATCAATTACTATATCAAATATTAGGAAAAATGTTTTGAGATATCACAAAGTGATGTGAGTTAATGTCCTAATTTTTTAACTTTATATATTGCTTATTATCTACATTTATTATTTATTTGTATTATTGTTATATAAGGATTCTGAATTATGTATTGAATATCTGTTTAACTGAATTTGTTAAATTATTATCTATTATGAGTCATAGTTATTAATATAATAGATATAATTTCTTGTCTGTGTAGTGCATTAACAGTGGAAGATGAAACTCGCCAAATCAGTCTCCTAATATCAAGTTTCATAAGATGCATTAACTATGGAAAGGAATTTGAAAAGCAATTGTCTTTCTATGTAGAAGCTAGAGAGGCATTCACTAACTTGGAATCATTAAATATTCAGCTGATTCATAGTGTAAACCTTCTGTCAGTCGATACTAGCAAAATTGTCAAAGGAAAACATACACGTAATACTGCAGCTTTTGTTCGAGCTTGTGCTGCTTATTGCTATATTACAATACCTTCCATAAGTAGTGTACACACAAAATTAGACTTGTATTTACTATCAGGACAAATTGCATTGCAAAATCAATGTTTGGGACAAGGTATGTTTGATTGTAGAACCACAAGTAAGAGAGGTCTGAAGCGCCGAACAAATATATATATATATATATATATATATATATATATATATATACTTTTTTCTAAGCCATTACATCAAACTAAAAATAAAATCCGTTATTTTGATTGTAATTTATTGTTAACACATCATGTGTTTAGTGATGTGAAGGTTTGCGATACCTTGTATATATATTTAAGATATATTAAGATAAGTTTTATAGTTTAATTTGTAAATTGTAAAGAATATCAATATTATTTGTAATAATTAAATTTATTGTTTGAAAATTTTCAGCTGATGCATGTTTTAAAGCAGCACTATCATTAATTCCTGAACTGCCAAAAATCATTGAAGTTGAGGGCAAAAAAAAGAACACAGAACCTTATTTAGTTTCATATTTGAGTAGCTTTGCATCTACTCTTTTAGTAGTGCCTGTAAGTACATTATATTGTGATATTTGCAATTTGTGTATAATAAATATACTAAAAACTTATAGGATAGTCCAGATCAAGGTGTTTTACATCTTACACGAAATTTATTAAGTGTTTTAGAAAAATATGAATTTAATGAAGATAGCAGTGCTTTTGTAAACATACAATTCAGAATTTTAGATATGTTATCTGCTGCTGCGCAACCACAATATGTATATCATGTTGCCAAAGGTTATTATAATTAGATACTGTACTTTATTTAGTAATATCATATCTAATTATGTTATTATTTCAGTTGATTCTAATGATGTTCTTTATGGATCAGATCCAAAATTTATAGCAGAAATTAATAAACTTTGCTCACAAATAGTAACAAAGATTCTGGAGCATCTGGTAGTTCTAGGAAACAAAAAGAATTTAATATTGCAATCACAAATAGCAATAGAGTTATTCCAAAGAGTTGTTATATTTGGAGATTTATCAAAGCCTGAATTGTTCAATTTAGCATATAAACTGTGGAATTTGTCACAGAAGCATTTGGAAAGCAGTAAACTAAAATATACTGTAAGATCATAAGATTCATATTTTTATGCAAAAATCTTTAAAAAATTTTTATTGCAGAACTTAATAATGAAATATCTAGAGATAAGGGCTACAAAAACTAATAACTCCTACTTGATGGTGCTGATATCAAAATTACAGCAAAAAACGTAGATTTTTTACAAATTTTATATGGACCTATTACCAATAATATACAAGTAATATAAATTTATTTATACATTCATATATACTTAAATTCATTATATATAAATATATATATATATATATATATATATATATATATAATATATACATTGACACACACACTTATACAGACTCCAGTGAACAATATTATTTATATAAACATATTATGTAAAAGGAATTAAAATTTATGTTAAAAATTACCAGTGTTATTTATACTACAAGAATTGAAGTTGAATAACTTTTGACATGAAATGATTCATTTTATCAATTTTATTTTTGCTTTATTTTACTCAATCTATGTGTATTATAAAAGGAAAACCATATTTTCAATAGAACAAATAGTAGTTCAATTTTTAATTAATTTTATTCACTAATAAAATAATAAACAAATAAAATTAAAATTTAATTTAAATTAAATAAATAAAAACGCATTTACTTCATTTTTCTAAATGTTATAATATGCATAATATATACAATTTCATGAGGTTAATTTTAAAGCATATTTTATTTACAGTTTGTGTTTTGTTTCAACTTAATACCTCATAATTTTTCTTTAATGTTTTTCTTTTTGTTTATTTATTTATTTAATATGCCCCAATCGGCTAAACAAGTACATTAGCTATTGTGTACAATTATTATATAACTTATAATTTTATGTTATTAGTTTTAATAAAAGCATACAGGGCACCAAGTATTCTTGTATCTGTGAACAATAATGTAAAATTAGCAAGAGAGATTTTTAGCTTTATTATCGCCTTCAATAATTTTAGTCATATTCCATCATTTGGTAGAGAAATAATTTAAAGTGAGTTTTTTTTTATCGTTTTCTATTTTCAACTAAGTGGTTATTTGGACTAATTTTAATGAGCATCATTCAAAAGTGAGCCAAATTTTGGGTAACACATTTTTGTGTTAATCAAAATTTTGATTAAACCTAAGTGTACCAACTAGATTCAAATGCATCACAAAAATAATGATGCATTAAACATTTTTACAATAAAACTAACAAAGTATACAATTTCTATAAATAAAAACTTCTTCGGAAAATTTAAAATAAATATTGTTCCATAATTATTTTTAAAAACGTCATTGTTGTTGGATGAAATTTCTACATGAAAAATTAACAAATAACCGTTTTAAAAATCTAATCTAATTCAAGTATGCGAGATTAAAAGTTTGGTATGAGTTTCATTTTGTTTTGTATGTTACCAAATCAGAAATTTCATAATATATAATAATGATATTTTAAATGACACTGTATATTTTAAATGACACTGTGAGCGTTGAGCGAGTACCTTTACATTGAACAATTCAATAATAAACGGATTTTTGAGCTTGAGGTGAACTTCAGTTTGAACAAGTCCACATTCGATAGAACGTCATGTGGCAACATGTTTTCGTAATGTCAAAAACGGTTTATTTGAAGGGTAACCAATTTTTTATTCTTTATTCATATATTAACTCGAAAATATTCAATATCAGCGTCTTAAATCATCTCGTCAATATGCCATTTTATGCGGTTGCTAATGGAGTTAAGCCAGGAATTTATAAAACATGGTATGTTAAAAATAAATTTACCTGTGACATTATATGTTATTTAATAATTTACATCGTGTTTATTCATTTATAGGGATGAGTGCAGGAAGCAAATTGAAAATTTTAAAAATGCCAAGTACAAGAAGTTTGATTCTGAACATGAAGCAAACCTTTTTGTTGAAAACTCTGGTTGTATAAGTATTCCAAAAAAGGCCCAAATTAACAATGAGGTATGTCATTACTATTTCAACAATAAATATGGTTCATTTTTAAACTCGAGTGCATTCTTTTCAGCAAAACTTAGATAATTCTTTTTCACTGCCTTCTGAAGAAGCCAGTACATTGGAAATTACTCTAGAACGTATTAATTCTCTTGAAGGTGTTCTTTTATCAGCTTTATCAGAATTAAGAGAAATAAAATCTTGTATGGTCAAATTGAATTCTAATAAAAAATCAATAAAAGCTGCTAATGTAAAGCGTAAAGCATCCATCCAAGAAAATGAATTACCTTCGAGCATATGTGATATTTTAGATGGAAAACCTAATGTACCATTTAAGTATGACAAAGATGGATTTGTGGAGGTAATTTATAATCAGTTATGTTATTTCATATCTCTATTTATATAGTACAACAAATTCAGTTTTTATTATCAAAAGGTTTACACTGATGGTGCATGTGAGAATAATGGTAAATCAAATGCTAAAGCAGGACTTGGTGTATTCTTCGGAGAAGGCCATCCGTTGTGAGTATGAATATGTAGAACTAGCATAAGTTGTTACTTATGTTTTTTTCTTTTCTTAAAAGAAATATCTCTGAACCTTGTAACGGAAGAGCAACAAACAATTGCGGTGAAATCCAAGCAGCTATTAAAGCAGTTCAAGTACTGAAGCGTCATGGTGCTTTAAAAATCTATATAGAAATTTTGTCTATTGGCACTATTTTGTTTATCTTACTTGTATATTTTGTGCCTTTTAGGTGAACATAAGGTATGCATTTACACAGATTCTCAATTTCTTATAAATTCAATGACCCGTTGGATATTTAACTGGAAAAAAAAAGGCTGGAAGTTGGCTGATGGTAGTCCAGTGAAAAATAAAGTTGATTTTGAAGAACTTGATAGAGAAATTACAAACATGCATGTTAAATGGGTACGTATTTTCTAATTTGATTTGTTAAATTATTTGATTCATTTACAAAAATATTTTAGACATATGTGAAAGCACATTGTGGAATATTTGGAAATGAAATGGCTGATCAACTTGCAAGGAATGGTGCAGAATTATATGCTAAAAGAAACAAATCATAAACTTTATTTATACTTTGGTTGTTATGATAATATATTTGTAAGTAAATATTTTTATATATTTTTAATAGTATTGCTTTATATTCTCAAAAATTTGTTAGTGATCAGTATTGATTATCAACAATGAACTTGAGTTTTAAAACTGAGCATATGTGTTTTATTAAGTTATTCTTTTAGTTAGATCATGCAGTGGTTTTAAAATAAATGAATAAAAGTATGCATCATTTCCACAATAATATTTAAAAAGATTGATATAATTTTAACATTAATAGCATTATTCTGGTAATTATTCTTTTTATTGGCCTAACATGCTCTTTGCTATTTTTTTCCTCGATGTAGTTACTCAACATTACTCTAAGAAAACCTTTTCATGGTTTGACCACTATGCACAACAAAGAGTAAAAGTGTTGAAAGCTGAATAATATTTAAATATATTTCAAGTATGTGCCATGTTTCAAATATATAGCATGAAATAAGTATTATTAATTCAATTTTAAATACAATATTTGGTTTCAGAAATTTCACAAGTTAGATCTTGTAGCTGTATTATTATTAGTTCAGAAGAAGATAGCTGTAAAATTGAACATACATACAAAGTAACAATAGCAATAGATTTTGTTTTAATAGTTGAGTTGAAGTTGCTTCTTCCTATATTTTTCACTAAAATTGAATTAAAGTCTGAAATACCTTGAAAATAATTGGTAGGTAATATAATTTTATTTTGTTGCATATTTTAATATTTTTTTTTTTATATATCTATGCAATAGCTAATAGTTTGATATGTATGTCATTAGATTATTTGATCTCTTCACATGTTTATAATCCATAGTAGTATAGTTCATTGTTATGAATGCATTTCATCATGGTTATTCGAATAATTTATTATTTTTGTTTTTTTATGCAAAAAAATGACAAATATATTTGGAAAATTATATGAAATCTGATATTTTAAGGAAACTTACAGAATTTGGTAATGGTTTTTGTTTATATATTTGCTTTTTTATATGAATAAATGTTCAGAAGAGCTTTTAATTGAACAAAAGAAAGAAAGAAAGAAGAAGAATATTGCGTTGTCGTGCCTTTGTGATGTGATATAACTGCCTCCTAGCTAAGCTTGTGGTATACAAATTGCTACTGCTCATTCTTATTACATTCGGCATGAAGCCGATTTTTCCCTGCAATTTGCGCGTGACGTATTGATTATGAGCTTTATATGTACGGTGACACACATACACACAACACAACACAAACACACAACAGGTTCAGAATCTTTTTGTGTTTCGGATTCGACCCCGACATGAGGCATACATTGTCATTTTGTTATAGTTCGGACATTAAAGGATGGCTTATTTACAATCTTTATGCTAATTTATCTATGCTTACAATGCTGTCAGCAATATCGCGTGTTTACTGGGGATGATCTGAAACTCGACACCAATGATGTACCAGAATATTTTCTTTTTTATTGGCCAGTTTTTTCTAAGCCATTCTGAATCCTTTCAGACTAAAGTAGAAGTCATGTGCGTCTATGTATGTTCTTTACAGTTAGCAGATTTGTGCAAAATTATTCATTTGTGTTTTCAACAAAAATCCTGAATTGATTTTGAAAATTAACCTGTTTGAAGGATATCAGTTGTGAATCGTGCTGATTGGTTTGTAGTAAAATGGGCCCTGCCGTTTCTTCCTAACTAATGGTTGATTTTTTTTTAATGATTTTGATAAAACTTTTCTGATATAGTTCATGGTCTTAACCAACATTCTAAAATGTAGGCTTACAAAAAGTGGCCGAACTATAAATATATCATTGAAGTTTAAAATAGCGGGCGTCAAATTTTCAAAATTTTATTGTCACTATTTTCAAAAGTGCTAAATCTCAATACTTGCTGATTCGATTATCTACACATATTCGGAATTTCATATGTAATTTAAGCCTTAAGGCCTAAGGCAAAACGCCACTTACACCAAGTGTTATTTAATCTTCTACTTTATAATAGATAGTTGCTTTATAGAAATCTTATGTGGACATTGCAGAATCGTCAAGCTAGAAAGCGAGTTTCTAATTCATATATGATACTATATCGCCGCACTAATCTAGTCACAAACATCATATTACAAGCAATAGTTCTCTTAACAAATTTAAATTTTTGCAAATTACATCAATTAATTGTGACTGATTTTTGCAGCATCACAATTATACAAATATAACTAGTGGTACATGGCATTGTACCTTAAGGCAAATTATTGGAACTTTCCGTACCGAAATTTTAAAATTTTGAAGAAAGCTTAAATTTTTTTTTTGAAAAAAAAACTTAAAATCTTAGATATTTCTAACTTTGTTTTAAATTCTCTTAAAGACAATCGCGCTGCGTTAGTTGCGTTAGAGACGATATATCGAAGCGCGTAGGCGCCGTCTCGCAGTGTAACGGATGAACAATGATATGGAACCCCTAGAAATGTGAACAAAATTTCTGCTTATTATTAAAATGTCTATAAAATATCCGATAATTTGATGTGCATATGTCTAATGATCATTTTTGTCCGCCAAATGTCATTTTTTTTTTTAAACTTTTCTTAATGGATTTCCGAAACCGCTAGCCTGTCTTCCCAAAAATTCATCAGTTCTTAATTTGGTCAATACAAATAAAATGTTTTTTTGTTACATTTAAATCGGACACTCCGTTCTCTCAATCGGACACTCCGTTCCCTGTATTTTTGGAACGGCTGGACCTGCCTTTGCCAGAAACTAATAAGCGCGTCTCATTATCATACATGTGGTCTCACATTATTCTCAAATTTAATGCTTGCCTTATGGCAGTCCATTCCGTCCAGTGACCCCACCGAACGGGGCACCGCGCCGAAAAGTGTGGTAGATTTGGGGATTTGCAATTACGTCTTTCGACCATTACTTTGAAACAACACATACTGAATTTAGCGAAAATATATAGTTCTCAGATTGAATAATTTATGGCCAAGTCTTTCGGAGTTCATATAATATTCGTGCTACTTAAGTATATCAAAATGTAAAATGGTAACATTATTGAAACTAGTGGAGATGCATGTCATCATGCATTAAGGCAAATTGCTGGAACTTTCCGTACCGTAATTAAAAATCTTAGTACGAAACTCAAAAAAAATTACACGAAATCTCTATAAAATATGTGATAATTTAATGTGCACATGTCCATTAAACATTTTTGACCGCCAAATGACATTTTTTCAAACTTATTTTTATTGAGAGTCTATGACCGCTGGACCTGCCTTCCCAAAAAATTAATCAGGCCTACATCTTGTCAATACAAGAAAAATGTTTTTTGAATTATTAAAATACATCTATTTTTTCTAAGGTATGCCAAAATGTTCAAAAACCTTTGAAACATAAAGATGAAACAATTTTCATTTTCGATTTTTTTTTGCGATTACTATAACTTACCCTACGGGAAGTTAATTATTTTCATAGTCCAATATTGATATATCAGTGTTCTATTAATTTTTGTAAGTTATATTAGTAATAACTCCAGGCAAGAATAAACTGCGATTTTTTTAAAATTTTTACTGTTATTAATTTAATTTGATTTAGTGTTTTGTACCATTATTTAGAAGTAAAAGTAATTGATTTTTTGAAGACAGTAGAAATTGTTTAAACCGTTGAATTTTTATCAGATTTTATATTTCACACTGTTCATATTACTCGAAATTATTTTCAAATTTGGTTTACGATGTATGTGTTTTAAAATACTTGGACTACTATATTTTATTTAAATTTGTTAGTTATTATTATTATAATTATAATTCAAAGCGTTTGTCAATGCTGAAGATAAATCTGCTTGTTCAAGTTCTAAATTGCATTGATGTTCTCTGAACAATTGCTATTGGAATGAAAATATACATATTGCGCCTAACATTTCAGACGATTTTAGCAATGTGGTTTTGAAAATGCTTTTATTGAAAGCATATCGTCACGTTTATAAACTTATTAAATTAATTATGCCTGGTTGTTACATGAGCGAGCTACTTTGACGCTGAAAATATAGATGTCGACGCAATAATCTTCAAAATTCAACAGTCATAACTGATAAATAAGAAATTAATTTTCACTTTTTTATTTATACGTTTCGGCAATTGATATGTGTCATCATTCAGTAAATCAAACCATGGAAAACAAAAACACAAAATTTGACAATGACAAATACTGAATCATAACTATAATTGTAGTTATGTTTCTCGGTGAATTTTCATACATATTTTTTGGTGCGTTTTGATGTTTTTTGAGTGTTTAATAATAATTATATTATTTGTTATCAATTGTTTTTAAAGTGGAATATACCCCGAAACGTCGAATAAAATAATTGAAAAAATTAAATTAACATTTTTTGAAGAACAATGGAGGCGTTTATTTAGTTCAGAAATTTAAAAATCTTTATATATATGTGTGAAACTATTATTCGAAGCGACGGTGCATACCAAAATTGAAAAAAGTATTATAATTGTGTGAGACAAATTTTGACCTTGCTTCGGCGCTGTTTTCTGGACTCGCTCTATTCAGTTTTACCCGACGATCGGCTGAGCCGTTTTTTTTACAATTGGCAGAGAAATGCAAAATTTTTCGGCCACGTTTAGCCACGAATCTTGAAATGATTTTAAAAATTTGGAAAGATATTAGTTGAGAATCGTGCGGATTCGCTTTTGGTAAAGATCGGCCGGGCCCTAGTTTTGGTAATTAAATGGTGAAAATTTGTTTTCACGATTTTAGTGAAACATTTTTGTGATGATAGTGTCTTAACCCATTCGAGACGGCGATTTTTTTCGAACGCGGTCCATAGGAACGAATTTTGTTTGTTTGTTTATATTGTTCATTGTTAATAAAAAAACATGTTTACTACACAAATCACCCAATTCGTAAGCAAACTTGAATAAATAAGATGATTGCGCACCGTGTTTGCAACTCGCTCCTCAGAAAATTTGTATTGCGAGGAGCGGATTGAATACCATGTGTGCAATGTAAGGTAATGCAAAAATACACAATTAAAATTGATAAACATTTATTTTAAAAATAATTAGATAATATAAAATCGTTATGTTTCTTTTAATAATGAACAGAATATAATGCAAAGAAAATTTTTAAGTAATAGTAACAAGTAAAAGAATAAGTTGAATAATGAAGAAAATAATATAAACAAGAAATGAATTTTTAGAAAAATGTCTTAAAGGTAATAAAGTAATGTAACTCAGTAATGAAAAAAATACAATTTGTAAATACATTTTTAGGAAAGAGCAGCATTGATATTTTCTAAAATGTAGATTTCGAAATTTCAAACAAAATGTTTTGTTTTGTTTTTGTACGCAATAAAACCAATGCCAAATTTTGTTTTTCTATATTTTGCAGATACTATTAA